ATTTTTGTGCTTCTTCTAATACATGCTCACCAGTTAGGTTTTTGACAGGGGACTTAGGTCTTTGACAAGCCCTTTCGCCTATATGCTACTATATGCCACTAAACATTTTTTCTAGGTCCAAATCAATTGATTTTCTAGAGTATCATGTATCCAATTCAAAATTACGTATTATTTTCGAAATAAAATCAAAGAAACGATAGATTTCATGTTAAGTCAAATATAGGTAAATTCTTATAGGTATATAGGATAATAAATCGGTTAAAAAATGTCCAAATTTAGTCGTACCACTACTAAAATATCTAAAAATTGTTGTTTTCATATATAGGTGTAATAAAAATGTTAGGTAGGTAGGTAGGTAGAAATAAACCTAGGCCACTATCGGCCCTGTTGTGTGCTCCTTATCATGAAAAAAAGGAACTGAATTAACCCATAATAAGATACATTTTGCAACAAATAATTTAAATCTATTAATTTTAAGATGGTTGGGATCTAATGGGTTAATTAATAACAATTTTAACGTCAATTTTGATATATTTTTTTTCTGTAAACTTGTTCTCCAAAAATGACTACACGACCTCCAACTCGCACTAATACGCATTCACAAACTAGCTCACTTACAACAAATAATAATTCAAACTCGTTTGGCAATCAATCGATTGATAGAATACCTCAAGTAGATTTAGACATATGTGCATCCTCTGTTAAACTTCCTAAATTTTGGACAAATTGTCCAGAAGCATGGTTTAACACGCCGAAATGCAATTTGCCACTAAAGGCATTACCACAGATCAAACCAAATACAAATATATTATAACTGCTCTTCCACAAGATGTTATAATAAAAGTGTCGGACATTATTCAGAATCCATCTACAACTGATCGATACCTCAATCTCAAAAAAGTTTTGATTGAACGTCACTCATTAAGTCATAAAATACTATCTGATACCGATATGGGAGATAGGAAGCCATCGGAATATTATAGGTTTACTTGCTGGCTCAAATTTTACCTCAGATATGCTAACTAAACTTTGGTTACGTAAACTTCCAAATACTGTAAATGCCGCTTTGACAGGTTCAAATATAAATGACCATAATGAGTTACTTCAACTAGCTGATAGATTGTGGAAAGTTATTTACAACGGAGAAATTTGTAGTGTAGATAGATAGATAGATAGATAGATAGATAGATAGATAGATAGATAGATAGATAGATAGATAGATAGATAGATAGATAGATAGATAGATAGATAGGCAGATAGATAGATAGATAGATAGATAGATAGATAGATAGATAGATAGATAGATAGATAGATAGATAGATAGATAGAAAATAGATAGATAGATAGATAGATAGATAGATAGATAGATAGATAGATAGATAGATAGATAGATAGATAGATAGATAGATAGATAGATAGATAGATAGATAGACAGATAGATAAGATAGATAGATAGATAGATAGATAGATAGGATAGATAGATAGATAGATAGCTAGATAGTAAGATAGATGTATATATATATATATAGATAAGCATAGCTAGATAGATAGATCGATAGTATGAGATAGATAGATAGATAGATAGATAGATAGATTAGATAGATAGATAGATAGGATATATGATAGATATATGATAGATAGATAGATAGATAGATAGATAGATATAGATAGATATAGATAGATGAGAAGATAGATAGATAGATATTAGATAGATAGATAGATAGATAGATAGATAGATAGATAGATAGATAGATAGATAGATAGATAGATAGATAGATAGATAGATAGATAGATAGATAGATAGATAGATAGATAGATAGATAGATAGATAGATAGATAGATAGATAGATAGATAGATAGATAGATAGATAGATAGATAGATAGATAGATAGATAGATAGATAGATAGATAGATAGATAGATAGATAGATAGATAGATAGATAGATAGATAGATAGATAGATAGATAGATAGATAGATAGATAGATAGATAGATAGATAGATAGATAGATAGATAGATAGATAGATAGATAGATAGATAGATAGATAGATAGATAGATAGATAGATAGATAGATAGATAGATAGATAGATAGATAGATAGATAGATAGATAGATAGATAGATAGATAGATAGATAGATAGATAGATAGATAGATAGATAGATAGATAGATAGATAGATAGATAGATAGATAGATAGATAGATAGATAGATAGATAGATAGATAGATAGATAGATAGATAGATAGATAGATAGATAGATAGATAGATAGATAGATAGATAGATAGATAGGGTAATAAAAATGTTAGGTAGGTAGGTTGATAAGAGGATGTATATTACATCAAATCCCAAGAAATAAACCTAGGCCACTATCGGGCCTGTTGTGCGCTCCTTATCCTGAAAAAAGGAACTGAATAAATTATTCTTCAGTGTTCATAAACTCAGTTTCCTGAACGTAATTCCTGAGAATCTTCCAATCAGTGTTAGTCAGGAATGTTATTTCCGGAATAACATCACTTTCAAGATACTTGGATCTAACTTCGACGAATGCCTTGCAGTGGCAAAGAAAGTGCTCAGAGTTTCACCACAAAGTATACAGAGGTGTCACTTTTGGCATTTAAAAAAGTCTAAAATCAGCTTTTGTTTGATTTTGAAATTGTTTGGTGAGAAGAGGTATATAAAATACAGCTAAAGAAAATTATTGAATTCGTTTTGTGCGAAAGAGAGGGAAATAGTTTTTTGCTCGTGACGCCTCTGTATACCCTGTGGTTTCACTGTCCCCTCCACATGCTCTACATTCGTCTGAATCCGCACGTCCAATTTTGCATAGATGTGCTCGTAATCCTGTGTGTCCACTCAGAATACGTACCATCATACTAACTTCAGACTTGCGTTTGTCAGGTTAACTGCCTCGAGCTCCCTACCTTTTAAAGCTATTACATTCGCCCTTTCGTTACCGATGATGATGTGAACCTTACCTCTGGGAAAGTATTCAGTTAAAGCTTTCTTACAATCCAATACGGTCTTAAATTTAGTTATATCGCCCTAATTGCCTTCTGGCTATCGGTAAATATATTAAGCTGGTGGACTGGTGGACTGCTTTAGACAAAAAGTGCAACATCAAACTACTACAGGGAGTTCAGCGTACATGCTGCTTGGGTATAAGTGGTGCCATGTGTACTACTTCAACCAAGGCTCTGGAAACGTTGCTAGATATTCCACCCATTGAAACATATTTAAGATATGAGGCGGCGCTTACAGCCGAGCGGCTCTTTACTTTAGGCGAACTGGCCAAAAGCGGTTATAGCACACGTCATCAAAGTATACTGGACACATTGGAAGGTTATACACAATCATCGGACGTGCCTGATCGTATACCAGACACAGAATATGTCTGAAACTTTGAAACGCTGATCCCAGATAGAATGACTTGGTCAAGCGGAACATTAGAGCAAATACCAGTAGGAATCCGTTGTTACACGGATGGCTCTAAATTGGGGGACAAAGTGGGGCTGGGGTTCTATATTGAAGACCCAGAAACAGAAATATACCACCGTTTACTAAATCATAACACAAGCTTCCAGGCGAAGTACGAGCAATAACGGAATACGTAAATTGGATTAGAATAAATATGGCGCCCACAGAGCTTAATATAATAAAAATGTTAAATTTTATAAAATAATACAGCAATATTAAACAAATTAACAGAAAACCTAGAAAAGCAAAATACTTTATTGACATAAAAAATTAACAATACGTTCACATTTTATCAAAAATCTCGTTAATTAATATCACGATTTTCCTTTTTAGCTGATTTTATCACGACAACTCACAGATAATTTTATTGAAATAATGCTATATTTTATAAAAACAATTAAAATTAAATGCAAATTTTGTAAATAAACACTAATTTCACTATAACTAATGTTAAAAATCAATTTTAATTGCACAAAAACAAAATTCTATACAAATTTTACAATAAAACAAGTAAGAAATTATAGTCGGGCGAGGCCGCCATATAATACCCTACACCTGTTACAAAAAAATGTGATTTAGTTTTCATGAAGGGGGCTTCGAATAGGGGCTATAGTCAAATGAGACCCTATAATTAAAAAATGTATGAGGGTCATCAAGGCTAGTATAAAACTTGGTTTTCCAGCTTTTTGTCGAGATACGAGTATATTAATTATGAACTTAAAAGCCCTATTAGTCCGGTTCAGTTGAATGGGGGCTAGGTGAAATAGTGGACCGATGTTAACCATTTTCAACAGGCTTCGTCTCCGGTGCCATAAAAGATCGTGTGCCAAATTTCATTGAATGATCTTCAAAATTGCGAGCTGTAGTTTGATTACAAGGTTTACAAGCCCTATTCGGGGGTTCAGTTGTATGGGGGCTAGGTGAGATATTGAACCGATGTTAACCATTTTCAATAGACTTCGTCTCTGGTACCATAGAAGATCATGTGCCAAATTTCATTGAATTATCTTCAAAATTGCGACCTGTAGTTTGATTACAAGGTTTACAAGCCCTATTCGGGGGTTCAGTTGTATGGGGGCTAGGTGAAATAATGGACCGATCGTAACCATTTTCAATAGGCTTCGTCCCTAGGACAATAGAAGATCATGTACTAAATTTCATTGAATTATCTTCTAAATTGCGACCTGTAGTTTGATTATAAGGTTTACATGGACGGACGGACAGACGGATGGACATAGCTAAATCGACTCAGAAAATGATTCTAAGCCGATTGGTATACTTTATATAGGAGCAATATTATTGTTCGTTACAAACATCAGCACAAACCCAATATACCCTCCCCACTAAAGTGATGTAGGGTATAATGACGTTTGTTATCAAGACAACGTTGTCTAAACAATTGTTTAGACAACACTGTCATAACGACGTTATAACGCTAATAAATGCCGTCTGTACCTGCTAATTTTTTATTATGATAACAATTTGACGTTTAGCATAATTAATATTTGTCTAATATAGACACGGGATAATCGACAGATATACTCGTTGGCCAGAAGTATATCCACTAAAAGACATTACAACATCTAACATGGTAGATACGTTTATTCGAAATTATATTTCACGTTTTGGAGTTCCGTTAAATATAACAAGAGATCAGGGTGGACAATTTTTACTTCTAAAATGTTTACTGAATTAACGGAGATGTTAGGATGTTTTAAAATCACAACTTCTCCTTATCATCCTCAATCTAACGGCGTGGTTGAACGATTTCACAGACAACATAAAGCGATATTAATGGCTAAGGGTGAGTCAGCAACATGGTATGACGAACTTCCGATTGCTTTATTAGGTATTCGTTCAGTATTTAAGGAAGATCTACAAGCTACACCTGCGGAAATGGTTTATGGTCAAAATTAAGGTTTACCTGGAGAAATTTTGATATCAACTGGAGATTTTGATGCATCTGACATTTTATACGCAATAAAAGACCATTTTAAAAATGTAAGATCCAATATTAATCACCACAGTAGTGAAAATTCAAGTATATATACACCTAAAGACCTTAGAGAGTGCAAATATGTATTTGTGCGTGTAATTAATAAAACAACTTTAAAACAACCATATGAGTGACCTTACAGAGTAATTGAGAAGACTAATAAATATTTTAAAGTAGATATCAACAATAAAACTACAATTTTACCTATCGATCGATTAAAGCCAGCATTAATAGAAAACACTAACATAAACATTAACACAAGTAATTCTAAACGAACAACTAAACGAGTTTCTTTTAATTTATTGGAAATAATTTTTTTGGAGGAGGAGCAGTTGTAGGTGTATACTTTTTTTTCATTTAATTATTAATTTTTATAATCATTTTAAGTTTTCAATAAATTTCATTCACATTTGAAATCACATTAAAAATAATTTAATTTGTTATACAATTAAAAAAATATAATATAATTTAAAAAATATTAAATATCAAAAATCTAATTGTCTTCACTATAGTGATAATCCCTAAAACTAGAAATAAATTATAAATCTAGTGGAAGTCTTAATTTATATCACAGTTTGCATATCACAGTTAACACAATTAAAGTTTATATTTAAATCTTAACCCTATTGTTAAAAACATTAAACATATAGTGAAATCCCTAACTCTATATTACAACCCTTAAACCATATAGTAGCATATAGGCGAAAGGGATTGTCAAAGACCTAAGTCCCCTGTCAAAAACCTAACTGTAGAATGTATTAGTAATCGATGTGAACAAAACATACTTTTTTAACATACTTTTTCCCAGAGTTGTATAAAAACGTACATACCTTTGATTTTATTTATTTAGTACTTTTTTAATAAAAGTGCAGTATAGGTACAGGGTACACCATATTAAAGCGTTAAATTTTAATATTAATAAATGTAAACGATTTTCGATAGAGAATTATACCAGAAATAGAAAATTTAAAAAATTCTCTTACACAAATTTTTAAAGAATGCTCTTACAGAAAATTTAAAAAATTCTATTACAGAATATTGGAAAAATTCTCTTATAGAAAATTCTCTTATAGAAAATTCTCTTATCGAAAATTTAAAAAACTCTCTTATAGAAAATTTAAAAATTCTCTTATAGAATATTTTAAAAACTTCTCTTACAGAAAATTAAAAAAATCTATTTTAGAATATTCGAAAATTTCTCTTGTAGGAAATTTAAAAACTTCTCTTATAGAAAATTTAAAAAAATTCTCTTATAGGAAATTCGAAAAATTCTCTTATAGAAAAATTAAAAAACTCTTTTATAGAAAATTTAGAAAATTTTAAAAATAACTTATAGAAAATTTAAAAAAATTCTCTTATAGAAAATTTAAAAACTACTCTTATAGAAAATTTAAAAACTTCTCTTATAGAAAATTTTAAAAAATTCACTTATAGAAAATTAAAAAAAAATATAGAAAATTTAAAACATTCTCTTATAGAAAATTGATGCACTTATAGAAAATTTAAAAACTTCTCTTATAGAAAATTTAAAATATTCTCTTATAGGTTGTCACTTTCGAGAAATTAGCCAATTATATGATATTCACTATTAAAGTGTTATTTTTCAATATTAGCAAGTATATAGTTTGTTGATTAAAAAATCGGTCAGATATTGTGGTGCCAAAAAAAGATATACAAATTTCGAGAGATAATTGTCCTAGAAACCGATTTATGGGGTTGTCACTTTCGAGAAATTAGCCAATTATATGGTATTCACTATTGAATTCACAATATCTGACCGATTTGATGACCAACAAACTATATACTTGTTAATATTGAAAAATAACACTTTAATAGTAAATACCATATAATTGGCTAATTTTTCGAAAGTGACAACCCCATAAATCGGTTCCTAGGACAATTATCTCTCGAAATTTGTGTAACTTTTTTTGGCACAACAATATCTGACCGATTTGATGACCAACAAACTATATACTTGTTAATATTGAAAAATAACACTTTAATAGTGAATACCATATAATTGGCTAATTTTTCGAAAGTGACAACCCCATAAATCGGTTTCTAGGACAATTATCTCTCGAAATTTGTATATCTTTTTTTGGCACCACAATATCTGACCGATTTTTTAATCAACAAACTATATACTTGCTAATATTGAAAAATAACACTTTAATAGTGAATACCATATAAATGGCTAATTTTTAGACTGTGAAAACACTATAAATCGGTTCTTTAAACAAATCTCTCCAGAATTTGAATGATTTTTTAATGAAAATCATTAAATTTACATTGATATTATTAAATAACACCTAAATAGTGAACACGCTATGAAAGTGACAGCAAAAGTATGTTAAACAAACTGTCAAAAGTTATATTGTATAGTTGCAAAAATGCGTATTTTAGTTTGGGTATACTTTCTTGTGCAACTGTGTATGTAGTTTTTTGACAGTTCGGTTTGTTACCGGTATGTTTTCTTCACGCGGGTACGATTTTCACTCTAAAGGTGGAAGTGGAAGTACACAACACGCGTTGAGCCGTCAACGCGTTTTACGTTTTTAAAACTTTTCAAGCTTTACAAGCTGCAAGTTACACACCACGCTTCAATTTCATCTTTCTTATAATGGTGTTTTAAGATTATTACAGTTTTAAAAAATCAAAATTTTAAGTTATTGTTTAATATTTTTCTTTCATTGTTGGTATTTTTTTTTTTTGTTTATTCTTATTCTTTACACACAAAATACAACCCTGATCAGCTGCCGACGCGCCAAAAGTTGCTGAACTTTTCGCGGCAGATGCGTTAGAACACTTTTAAGGCTCAGTTAGTCTCTACGTTCCGTAACGTTTCCGTTCTGTAACGTTCCGTTAACTGTTTATGTGTAGTTAGTTTCTATGTAAGAACGTAGCAACTGTTTTTAAGAATAACAGCCAAAAAAGCAACTCTGACTTCTTGTGTCAAAAACCAGTGCTGATTTTCTTTCTTTGCTAGAGTTGTTTTTTCCATATATTTACAATTTTATATAGATTTAGCGCCTCTATTGAAAAGACATTTGTATTTTTCTGTTCTCTGCAATTAAATAAATAAAAATGAAACAGATTTATTAATCAATTGTATTATAGACTTTTATGATTCTTACCAGGAATTCCCATTTCCTTAGAAATCTATATTCCTTGTTAAATTTATTATACAAAATATCATTTTGTTCAACTAAAAAAATTAATTTCTCGTCGTCTATTTTAAAAACACGATATACAAACTTCTTGACCAATGATTATCAGTGGACACATTTATAACGAATTTTAATAATTAAGTTAATTATAAAAAGTAACAAGTTAGAGTGCTATATTCGGCTGAGCCGAATCTTAAATACCCTCCACCAGCTACTTTTTTATTAATACTTTTCTAATTTATCAAATATTTGTAGAAATAAGTTTTCTCATGTCTTAAATAGAAAAATACCAAGATTTAAACAACTTAAATCTATTACGATTCCTAGATTTATTGAACATTACAAACGCCATTTTCTTTTTATAGCGCTTAGCAATATTTAGTAATTTGTATGTATGCATGTGTGTGTGAAAGATTTAAGGATTTTCAAAATACATATATATAATTTTGTTCTACACAAATTGATAATGCAACCTACTATGTGAGATATGACCAAATATAGAACGATCGTAAAAAATTCTGTAAGCTAAATTTCTGTACATAAAAGCTATATTTCAGTCAAATTTTGGATCTATATCGTAATTTAGTAATAAGTAATAAGTGATTTTCTGAAGGGAACCTTGTATGGGACCGACCGCACCCATGTTATGAACCGATCGTGAAAAAATCTTGAAATAGAATTTTTGTATACAAAACTAATATTTGTCCCAAATTTTGTATCAATAGCTTTCTTTGGTAATGCGTTTAAGAGATTTTTCGTAAAAGGACCTTGTATGGGAGCTATGACCAATTATGTATATAAAGACAAAATTTTAAAATTCTGTATCTACATCATTATTTGGTAATAAATACTGTGCATTTAAGTGATTTTCTGGAGAGGACCTAGTATGAGAGCTATGACCAAATATGGACCGATCGTAAAACAATTTTATAGTGTAATTTATGCATATAAGAGCAATGCTTTTGCTAAATGTATGGATGTCAATATTTGGTAATGAGTTATGTGCGTTTAAGTGATTTTCGGGAGTGAACCTTGTATAGAAGTACAGTAGTTTTCCGATTTAACGAACATTCGTTTCTACGAACATCGCATTTAGCGAACTATCAATATTTTTACATTGAGTACCTTACATAACGAACAAAAAATATTTTTTGTACTCAGTTTAACGAACAAATATAAATAAAATAATTTAAATTAGAGTTAAATTAACAAAAATAACTAAAAATCATGCCAGAAAAGCTTCGACGTTATTACTTTTCATTGCTTTTGAATATGGATTTCAAGAGTTGATTTTTTCTTATTTAGTAAAATGAAGAATCTAGATAATCTGAGATTTTTTTATTAAAGATTTATACAAAAATATGAGATAATCAAATCTACAATCCTTAATGTCGCAAAAACTTATGTTGATCGAATTAGAAAATCGGAACAAAAAATGTTTAGAGAGGCCAAAGTATACTTTTCTAGAAGCTCGTGCTCAACCCGAATTTGGCCTCAGAATTTGAAATCATAGAAATTGGTGTTCAAAATAAAGACTTTGCCAATCGTATACCTTAACATTTCGCTTTTATTTTTCGCCAAACTAACAAATCCCCACTGTGACCATAATTTTTTCCAATAAAAATCAATTCTAAGAAATTGAAAGAAACGATATGTTATAGAATAAACAATATAAATAGTTTTTCTTTTGGAAAAAGGATATTTACAGGAATAGCTGTGAAATAAAGGAAACAATATTTTAAAAAACTTTGGGTTCAGATATCTCAAAGAAGGAAAACAATGAAACTGTGAAACAATGAAACGCTTTAATAACTTTACATTAATCTATTTCCTAAGGAATTCTGAGGCCAGGTTCAGATTCATCGCAGTTCCAGCCATTGGGTTTAAACTTCTTTAAGAATTATGTCGTCCAAGTGCTTTTCCAGAACGTAGATTAGTTATACGAAATAAACTGAGTTTTTTCAAATTTCTTTATTGTTTTTACATTGTGATATAAATTGCTAGTTTTTCATAAAATTCTTATAAAATATTGTCTAAAGAAATTATATTTCCTGGAACATATTTTTATAAAATAGATTTTATGTAATTTTAATTATTTATGTACCCAAA